TTATAGTAGCTATAGGTTAGGGGAAGAAATTTGCGTTATCTCTTTATTCAATAACTACCCAGCACTAACTAAATCGCGTACCATCACTCTTAGGTATTGGGTCTTCTAAAATATCTATTCGATATCATTAACATAGGCAACAAAGAAATTACTTGTTTTATTAAAGTGATGTATTAGTTCAGTAGAGATTTGCGCTCGATAAATTAGATTAGGGACTCCCTGCATAACTATTATCGTAGGTATTGGTCAGATGAGAAAAGAGTGTTGTGTTCTCTATCTATTTTATAACTATTCGGTACTCAATATATCGCATATCTTCACTCTAAAGTCTTCTTTACTAAACTACCTGACAGTACTTATGAATATAAGCATTTAAGAAACTTCATGCTACATCAAAGCGAGATAATGGCTTCCTGGTGCAGTACAGGATTGCCCAAAAAAGTTATATGAATTTTATATTTTTTTTAGACAAGTCTTTTTGGATTCTGGATGGACTGCGTATGTGCCTATCTGCTTCCATAAAAAAAAGTAATCGTCTTGTAGGCTTTAGACAAGTTTTCACAGACTTGTAATAATTTAAATATGGAAGTCTATCTACTTCCATTAGAAAATGAAGAATAAACAACTTGTAACATTTTTTTTTTACACAAGTCTTTTCGGATCCTGGACAGATTGCGAATGTGTCCATCTCATTGATAGTGTTGGGCAATTAATTCTATTGAACTTTTTATAGCTTTCATAATAATTGGCATGTCAAAATTATATTCATATCCATCATTACCTTTAGCTGGTAGCAATTAAAATTCTGAACTGTGTTTAAACAATAAAAATGTTGTCTTTATTGACAGTCGCTATACACAGATAATAGTGGCAATCAAAGTCTGACAATCTGTTTCAATAGTTTTTCAAAATGTTGACTCATTAAATGTGCCCAAATATTGGATTCCTATGCAATGTAATTACATAGCATCGATTTCCGAATGGATTGACCACAGCTCGTAATGAATAATGTTCAGCAATCCATAAACTGCAATTGATTCAAGCATTTTAATAACAACTCCAAATTCTACTGATAAAAGTAGTAGTATTAGAAACAGTAATAGCAACAATAACAACAATAGCAACAACAACAACATCGCCAACACTAACGTTAATAATGAGTTTGAACTTCACGGCAATCAAACGCGCTTACGGCGCTCATCCGATTATTTATGAATGTGAAATGATATCCATACTTACCTTATAAAGGCGCATCGCTCAGTATGCGTCTGGCGTTCGAATGACACTTTAGCAACGCTGTTGTTATCGTCGTCATCGATGTTGTTGCTGTTGTTGCTGCTGTTGTTGCTGCTATTATTGTTGCTGCGTTGTTGTTGTTGGTCTTGTAATGCATATTTACAGTCAAATTCAGTTTGCCATTGAATGGATTATTATTGATGATATGTTGCAGCTACTTTTGGTATCATCATCATTGATTATGGCATCGTTAGGATTGCAGTTGTGGCAATTCTTGCTGAAGTGGTTAGTTTCGTTGGTGTGAAACGTTTGCGGCCACTTTCGCAACTCAGGTGTGGTTTATAAGCACTTTTGTTCTTGCTTTAGTAGTCACAATCAATGATATTGCGGTTCTCAGTTCAAGTAAAAGCCAGTGCACTTCATCACATAAGTTGTTGCAATGCGTGGGCAATAGTTGCACTCATGCAACAACAATGCTTCGTAATATGCAGTTTGTTTTGCATGAATTACAATGTTAATTTCCTAGTTGATTCGTAGTTGGTGATATCATTTGTTTTAATTGCCAACCAAGGTGATTGCGCTGACCCACCTGACTCTAAGCTAAGGTAGGGGTTAGTCGTAGAGTATTTTTATGCTCGGCAACTGTACAAGGATTGCATATTTCTGGTAATTAGAATACACTATAATGGCACAGTTGTTTTTCTAATAAAATTTTTCTATGTTATCATTTATGCTCATCGAAAGACAGAACACTAAGTTGCTCTTAATCTGAGCAATTCCACAGACTCTTTTTTGTTGTGGGACATCATAGTATTAATCATAGTATTAAATTTAATTCCGTACAATGGAAAAAATTAAGTCACTCTGTTATTTTTATAGCAAAATATTTTCTTTCATTTATGTTTAACTAAATGTTAGACTCAGATTCATAAATTACTTCATTGGTATATAATGTTGACTTTTAAACCCAGAGCATTTGATTTTTGCAATGCAACAATTATTATAGTTTTCAATTTAATCCTCACAACATTATTTGAAGCAATATTCAGGAGAATCTAGTATGGAACTAAATAAATTTTGCAACAATAAACAAGATTATAATGCACCAGCGCAGTGTCCTGGCTCAATGATAAGTTTTTAGGTGAATTTGTTGCTTGGCTTTTCTAATGATATCACGTACTCCATATTCCGTTTTAACGTGCTTTATATGTTCCTCTCTCAACCGTGCTTGGACTATTAGAATAATAGAGTGTCATCATCATAAAACTGACAGAAACAAGTGCCAAGCTTATTGGCTTCAACGCAAATATTTGAAGTGTTTCCATTTTCATTTTTCGTATATTTTATGATGATGTCGTCGCCATTGTCACTTTACTTTTATATGTATTATATGTATTGCGTGTTGTTGTTAAGTATTCTCAATAGTTTTACGAAAATTCTTAACATATACATATATTTTTCATATATCTTATGTATTTCTTTTTTATTTATTCAATTTTTTCAAATATTTTTGACGACAACGTCTTCCAAACACTTGATGCTTAATAGTCATGTGACATGTTGTATGTTGAATCTCAATAATTGTTGAATGCACCAACAAATGGCGGATGGTGAACAAAAACTTCACACATCCTTTTACATATCTTCTATTCTTCAGTTTTAGTTTCAATTTTCATTTAGTTTTTTTTTTTTGCTAAAATAATTCATCAAATATTTGTTGACCAAGCAACAGCAAATAATTAGGCCAGCACTACTGTACGGATGTGTAACATACTCAAATACCTCAAATACTGCCATAAAGTAATTACACATACATAGCACAAAATCTGGCTTTAGGAAGACTAATTAAGATTCCCTGTAATATTAGAACAACAGACATGCATAGAGATCTTAGAATCGACTCAGTAAAAAAATATATCAAGGACAAAAATTTATTCGTTGCCCAATCCCGCCCTTACAAACTTTAAGTCCACCTCAGGACGCACAGGAAGATATGCTGATCTATGGTTCGTCATCAGTTAGAAGATAAATAAATGATAATAATTCAAGTATAGTTAAAGCTTAGTGTAGGGCAGGGATAAGCTCCCCAGCCACAAAAGAGTAAAAGTACGCAATAGCGCAAATCACAACAACAACATCAGCAATGTCAGTATTGCTACCATTGTCATCAACTGCATAACGTTATATATACTACTCGTAGTTCCATTGTTTCATCAGCTATATACGATTTCAAAGCACTTGGCAGTTTTAACTTTCGGTCCAAAGCCTCAATACTACATCAAAGCGATTTAAATAACGCTTCTTCAGCGAGGTGAATAGTGTCCCAGTGCGCACAATTTGACTTCAAGGTTTTACTCCTTATCAGCATAAGAAACGTAAATATAGCAAGAAATCGTTGTATTCTTAAACAAATAATTTAAATGAGCCAAATACATACATATTCGTACATATTTTAGTTGAATAATGAAGAAGTTTCCAAAATATAACTAACACAGAAACTTGACCCGATATATACATATAAGTACAGTACGTGTAGAAAATATACTATGGTTTCATTTGAAAGCGTTTTAGCTTTAAGATTTGTTCAGACTAAAGTTGTAACTTTCTACACATAATCTCACTCAAGCAGAAATAATGAGTTCACAACGTATGAGACACCATCCATATGCCAGATCTGAAGACACACCTTAAGAAATTAAAATTCTAGATATTCAAAGCAGGAACGGCACGTGCGACTCCCACATTTGAGTAGAAGGTAAACAACCTGACAAATTCATAAACTTAACTATGCTCTAAATTTTAAAGGATGACTTGCTAAGAGTAGCCATTGATAAGTGAGTTAGAGTAAATAGTTTCCTCCTCCTCAGCAAAACCGCCGCCCTGACAAAATTCGTTATATAGATGTGGTCTAGCTTATTGCATGACTTAATACGCCATGCACTGTCATCACCGTTACCGTAACACTGAGTAAGTTTCGCTTTAGTTGAGTCAGTTGACTGTTACTGTAACGAATTATATCCAATTTGGACAGACTGAAATTTATGAACTGACTATAATCTTCATCTACCCAGGCTTTTACTGCCGGAATATGTTTTATTGTCACTTAATTCATTACTAGAGTATTCATACAAGTGAATATCGGAGAGTTGCCTGCCTGTTATGAAAATAATGGGGTAGTTCAAATTCCATAACAGGAAGAGATTGTGCTGAATCGCAGTTTTAATAGCGATAGAGGGGAGGTGCATTGAGTTTGGAACGCTAGAATATATTGGGAAACTTATTGCATTGCATTTAATAAATGGGAATGATTATTTTATTCTTAAACAAAATTTAATTTTTTCACCAAAACTTATTTATTCATGCAGATCTAATCCTTTTTAAGCTATATATGGACTTTTCGAAGGTCCCTAATATTGGAAAAAAATTTAAAATGATGATTACTGAAACTAGTATGACATTTTCTTTTTGTAATCAAAACACACATTTCAGAAATAGCAAATATTGGTGCAATGTATTTCAAAGTTTTCACATATCGCGTAAAGGTTTAAAAATAAAGATAAATACTTCAATTCCCTAAATTGATTGATATAGCGCATAAAATAGTAACCAGACTGAAAACCACCCAAAAAACAAAATTTTGTCGAATGTCATCAGTAGTTTCTTGGCAGGATCTCTATTTAAAGCTCAAAATCAGTTCCTATAAATTTAAATATATGTAAATCCCAAATGACAAAAATAAAATTTAATACTTACTTGGGTTATCATTTTACGACGTTTATTATATTTTGAAAAAGAAAGATTTTTTTTTTTGGTACTTATTTAATCTATAAAAAATATATGTGAAATAAGTGATAAGAAAAAAATATTTTACCATTTTTACCTGCTGTACCCACAGAAACCATAGCTTTTTAACTACTGTTTAGATTCTTGACCAGGAGCTTTGAAGCCAGCATTACCTGCTTTTTCTAGCCCCTCGTACACTTTGTTGAGGATTTCAGGAATCTTATCATTTTCCTTATAATGATCTCTGCAATAGTTTTCGATATTTATCAACTTCCTCTTAAACGCATCCTTCTCCAAAGTAACGAGGTCAATATCACGTTTCAACAATGCCTTAGTTTTGGTGAGGGTATTATACTGTTTCTGAATATCGTCGTCCTTTGATGGTGTTTTACCTTTCCGGGGAGTTTTTGCAGCCATCGTATAGATGTTCTTTTGACACTCAAAAAATAGGAAAACCGATTTTGTTATTTTTTCAACGAAAATAATTTTTAGTTTGAATGAAAAATTTTAATCTAGCTCAATAGTTTGTATTATCAAAATTTGATAAAAATTCCAATGTTACTTATAAAAAATTTATTGTGAGATATAAAATTTACAAAATTTTTATTTAACTAATTTAATTAAATTCATTATTATTAATAAATTGTTTATGAAAAATGGAGATGTCTGGAACATCTGATTATAAAGTGATTCTTTAAATCTGGAATATATCTTTTCCTTGATATCACAATGCTTATTCTTATATTGCATATAAGATCAATCTCAAGATTATTCATAAGCTTACTGACTTACAATACTTTATTTTCTATCCAAAAATAATGAGCACAACAGTACTTTCTGACTTTTTGCTCTATTGTAAAAAAAACATATATTAAAAAATAATGAAAAGTGCCTCCATGACACTTCCCACGCTAAACAATCGGAATCTCTGATATATTAGTACTATTAGAACTAAATCTCTGCTGTTGGTGTAACGACTGTTGTTGATGTCAGATGTCTTTATTCTTTAATCTTCCATTTGAACTCCATGGATAGTCGAAGTAGTGGTATGCCTGCGCACATCTGAAGAAGACAAACGGAAACAGAAATGTCAGAAAAGTTCATATGCAGAAAAGTTAAAGGAAATTGCAGTTATTAGCTAATAATCGATCTGAATGTAATAATTTTGTTGCGGCCCTATGTTACTCTTAGGAGTTAATGGAGTTTATATATATATATATTATCTGCATAGATAGTTTTTTTTTTTAAATTGATCAATTATACTTCTGTATCTTTAGTCGTTTATTCGTATCCCAAATTGTTTATCGGTCAATACAACGGTATCAAATAATTCTGTTTTTATTGTTACTGTTCTTTAAATTGGATAAAGTCATTCTATTATAGATCTCCAAATAGGTGTTTTAAAATGCTATTCATGCTTTAGAAAAGGTTGAGCTAACTTAGTTAATTGAATAAAATCACATCAGAAGTTCTTTGTACGCAAATTGTACGCGTATAGGATGATTCTTTTAGAGGTTTGCATAATATCTATTTTTTATGAACCCCAATCATCATATATTTTTTATGCATTTTCAAACCAATTTGGTGCTGTGAATATACAAAATCTCGGCGAAAGGAAATTAACTCATTTCCACACAAATTGCTTACATTTTAGTTGGTTTCTGTCGATTATGATTAACGATGCGCCATAAATAAGGAATTGATGGCATCCTTAGATGTATCAATTTCTATGAAGGCAGTAAGCTACTAGCAAAACTATGTGCGTTTATAGTACTTGATAATGGAAAAGGTTATATATATATAAATATATATTAGATTATGTTTGTATATATGTTAATATAAATGTATCTCAGTTTGAACAAATATATTCACAATCATTTATGTGAGTATGGGAGTTTGTTGGGCCAAGAATTTATGTCCTGCCTGACACTTTAAGTATTGCCGGTTTGTGCATTGAATAAATTTGCAATTACACTTTTAAAAGTATCTTTAGGTAGTTCGGAAACAGAGAAAAAAATATTTTGGGAAAGTACACGAAAATGCATAAAATATGTGAGAGAAGGAATAATAATTGCAAAATGAAAACAATTTATGAATATTTTAGCAAACTTTTCTTCTTAACAGGTTCGTAAAAAACACATTTTCAGTTTGATTATTGTATCTTCGAGATATAAGAAAACAAAATATAATTGTTTTGAATATACGTAAATGATGCCATTTAAAACCGACCAAAATAATGTTAAATCTCCGGCAGGGAAGTGTTTTCGTTTAAAATTAATTTCAACGCAAAATGTTTTGAATAAAATTTATGGAAATTTCAATTTACAAAAAGTTTTTGAATTTTCAGATTGACATGAATGAATAAGTGAATTAGTGATGAAAAAAATCTTGTTGATTAACATAACATAATGTTGTTTCAGATATTTTGAATACATATTTTTAAATGATTTTAGTAATATAATTGCCATAAAATATTATATTGAGGAGAGAACTAAAATCCCCTGAAGTATCTCATATTAAAATAAATATTGTTATTATCTACATAATTTTATAAATAATGAATAGACATAATTATCGTTATTAACATATTTTAATAGATAATCAATAAACATTAATGAATCTAATTGACAAATTTTCACAAATAATTAATAAACATAATTATTATTATAACCATATTTTTATAGACAATTGATAAACATAATTATTATTATAACCGTATTTTTATAGACAATTAATGAACATAACTATTATTATAAACATGTTTTTATAGATTATTAAAAAACATTAATAAATGTAATTAACACGTATGTATAGATAATTAATAAACGTAATTATTATTATCAACACATTTTAATAAATAACTAGTAAATATAATTTAGCTAATTAACATATTTTTATATATAATTAATAAACATAATTATCGTTATTAACATATTTTAATAGATAATCAATAAACATTAATAAATCTATTTAACATAGTTTTATATAAAATCAATAAAAATAAGTATTATATTGAACATATTTTTATAGATAATTAATAAACAAAATTAATCTAATTAACATATTTTCATGTATAATTAATGAACATAATTAGCGTAATTAACATATTTTCGCAGATGATTATTAAACATAAATAATTTATTTAACATAATATTATAAGTAATCAATAAACGCAATTATTATTTTTAACATATTTATATATATTATTTTATTTGAATATATTAACATATTTTTTTGATAATTAATAAACATAATTAATTTAATCAACATAATTTATAGACAATAAATAAACATAATTATTATTATTAACAAATTTTTATAAATCAATAAATATAATTATTACATATAACATATTTTTACAGATAATTAATAAACAAAATTAATCTAATTAACATATTTTCATATATAATTAATGGACATAATAAAATAATAATTAACATATTTTCGCAGATGATTATTAAACATAATTAATTTATTTAACATAATATTATAAGTAATCAATAAACGCAATTATTATTTTTAACACATTTATATATATTATTTTATTTTAATATATTAACATATTTTTTTTTGATAATTAATAAACATAATTAATTTAATTAACATAATTTATAGACAATAAATAAACACAATTATTATTATTAACAAATTTTTATAAATCAATAAATATAATTATTACATATAACATATTTTTACAGATAATTAATAAACAAAATTAATCTAATTAACATATTTTCATATATAACTAATGGACATAATTAGCATAATTAACATAATTTCGCAGATGATTATTAAACATTATTAATTTATTTAACATAATATTATAAGTAATCAATAAAAGCAATTATTATTTTTAACACATTTATATATATTACTTTATCTTATTTTAATATACTAACATATATTTTTGATAATAAATAAACAAAATTAATTTAATTAACATAATTTATAGACAATAAATAAACACAATTATTATTACTAACACATTTTTATAAATAATTAATAATCATTATTAATCTAATTAACATGTTTTCGTAGATAATTAATGAAAAAAATTAGTCTAACATATTTTTACAGACAATTTATGAACATAATTATTGTAGATAATTAATAAACATAATTATTATAATTAACACATTTTTATAACTAATTCGTAAATATAATTAATCTAATTAATATATTTTTATAGGTAATCAATAAACATGATTATTATATTTAACATATTATTATAGATAATTAATAAAAAAAGTTAATCTAATTAATATGTTTCTATCGAAAATTAATAAACGTAATTATTATTATCAGCACATTTTTACAGATGTTTAAGAAGCATAATTATTATTAAATTTTAATTTGACGTCAGTATTGCCAAATAGCCATCGTTATTATGCTATAATTATTTATAACATAATAGTTATGCCATTATTTTTTTATTTAATTATTTGTAAATAATTTTTTGATCACGACCACTGATGATGGGCATTTGGCGATTCTCGAAATGATTGTATGGTCAGACAAAATTAAAATTAATCCAGAAATATGAAAAAAGAAGAAATTTTGATATTGTAGTTCACTACTTCTCGAAACCTCTCCAACAGAATTATTATTGTTATAATAAATTTTCGCAGACAATTAATAAACATTAGTCTTTTGTATAGTTTATGAGTTTGGGCTATTAAACAGAGTTTTCTCATAAATAAAGATTTTTTTATACGGCTATTCTTAGAGTATATACCATATGGAAAATGAACTGTTGTATCTCGTTGTTGATTTTTGGAATAAATGGTACGTCTATCGAGCTAGCGATATTTTAATAAAAATATGTATGTTATGCTAATCAAAATTTAAGTTAATTAGAAATTTTGGAATTTGTATTTACAATACTTGGAATAAATATTTGCATTGTCTATGGAAAAATCTGTATATCTTTTACAATCTTCTCTGCACTTGAAAAACTTACTACCTTAGTTCTTTCATAAAAAAAGAGATTAAATGTGTCAGCTTGGACAAAGTTAAAATCAGTTCCATTTGTCACTCACATATTCTACATATTTATGCAGTAATTAACTCATGTTACCTAGATTATTCAACATTTCTTGATTTACATAAAATTTTGCCAATACCTTCATTAGATCTTTGGTTTTCAGATCATTTACTCTAGAAATTGATTTCATAAAAACAGTTAAAGCATTTGTGGAGCTAATATCTTGCGTATTCATCAGCATTATTTCAGTGAGCAATAATATCTTATCATTTCGAGGGTCACTATTTATATTTTGAGCCTTGGCAACACTGATTGTTATCAGGTATTATCTGCCGTTTTTACACGAAAGTTTGACATTATTAAACATGACATACCTATGACTTTTTGTCAAAAGAGTGTTGTTTGTGTTATTTACAGTGACCACAGTTCGCTCACTGACAAGTTGAACGAATTCATAAAGGTCGTCCAAAATCATCTTTCTGTTGTGACAGA